TGATGACTTTTTACATTAACTAAATTTCCCTTTGAGACATTAAGTGCAAGGTCAGTAACCTAACAGTATCTATTTATTCGTTGGTAATTAAGTCTATAGAGGGTAGTTCCATTACTAAAGATCCAATGACCCGATCTCATGAAGTGATTGAGGTCTGCGTTATATCCAACCCCCCGTGGTTGAAGAGGCATTACTGTACCTCTTTTAGCTAAATTTAAAGGGCGAGTAATATGTATTTGACCATTTTTAAAATGGGTTTCAGAAATGAGGCAATCTATTTTTTATTTATTGATAATTTACAATCTAGTTCGATACAGTAATAAGTAAATATAATATGTTCTTGGCTTGTGGCGGGTGTCGTCCATTGACGACTCTCTGGAATTTACCTAGCAGCTAGGTCTTCTAGCCAAAGTCTTTTTAGACGTTGTCAACCAGTGGAGGGTTGAATAATTCGTCTATGAGACGGTTTGGATGGTCTGCTCTCCGATTCATGTGTCTTCTGGAGTGGTTAGCAATCACATCATTGATGAAGGTGATGTTGAGGTCTGCATGGTTTGGTTTGATACATACCATGGGGCTTTAGCTAATATACGAATAGTTTTTAACTGGAATACATGTAGTATTTTGGTGTTGGATGGTTTGCTACAGCCCCACAGCTCAATTTCATATGTCCACAATGGTTTGACTATTGTTTTAAAGATGGTCAGTTTGTTTTCTAATGAAAGTTGCGATCTTCTGTTGATTGGCCAGCTCATATTTTTAACTTTTAGGTCGAGGTGTCGTCGTTTGGCTGCAATATGTGATTTTCAAGTAAGTTTTTCGTCTAGATGAAGGCCCAGGTAGTTTACTTTTGTTTTTATTGGTATAGGTGAATTATTTAGGTGTAGTTATGGACAGCTTATTCTTTCGATTTGTGAAATTTACTTAACAAGACTTGTTTGTGTTGACATTTATTTTCCAGCATTTAAGCCAGTCTTCTAGTTCATTGAGATGATTTTGCAATTTGTGAAATGCTAATATTTCGTAGAAGTCTGATGCTAGTATACCAGTGTCATCCGCAAATGTTACCATTAGTGTATTTTTGCTAATAAGAATATCAGCAGTGAAGATTTGGTAAAGGAATGGGCCAAGTGCACTGCCTTGAGGTACTCCGGATTTTATTTGGTGTTAGTTGGATAGAGCACCTTCGTATTTAACTTGGTAGTATCTGTCGGACATGTATGATTTAAAGAGGAGGTAGATTTGGTCAGTTAGCTGAGTTTTTATTTTAAAGAGAAGACCCTCGTGCCACACTCTATCAAATGCTTGCTGTATATCGAGGAATGCTGATAAGACAGATTTGTTTCCCTTCTAGGCACTCTTTTATTTTGTTGACTAATCTATGGCACTGTTGTATGGTTAGGTGATTTGAGCGAAAACCAAACTAATGATCTAGGATAAGGTTTTCCATAGGTATTATTATTTCTATTCTGTTAAGGATTAACCATTCGAAGACTTTTGATAAAGTCGGAAGGAGACTTATTGGTCTGTACGAACTGGCTTCAGTTAGAGCTTTACCAGGTTTAGGTATCGCTATAATTTGTGCATACTTCCATTGCACTGGAAAATAGTATAGTCTCAGTCAGGAGGCTATTAGAAATAATGGCTATTAAGACGACACCTTTTCTTGGAAGTTTTTTTGTAATTTCGCCAGTTATAAGGTCAAATCCTGGAGCTTTATGAGGGTTAATCAGGTTGATTTCGTTACGGACTTCGTTAGGTGAGAAGTATTTTAGTGTTAATGATAGCTGACAGGGTGCATTAAGGAAGTCTCTAATTTTCTCGTCGTTAATATCGTTGGCCTTTGGGGTGGAGAAGACGGTTGATAGATGTTTTGCAAATCTGTTGGATTTTTCTATATTTGATCGAGCCCAGGTTCCATCATTTTTCCTAATTGGTGATTTCATTACTACCGGTTTTTTAAATTTCTTTGTGGTTTTCCAGAGAGAGTTGTCATCAAGAGAAAGATTTATGACATATCTTTCAAAGGATTCGTTTTTGGCTGTTTGGATAGCGGAATGAAGTCTGTGTGTGAGCATGTTTAGATTTGTTTTATCTATCGCGTTTCTTGTTCTTTGTCATTTGCGACGGGTTCTTCTCGCTTCTACTAGTGTTTTAATGTGGAGGGGTATACTATACCTTTCATCAATGGTTTTTTCCTTTACAGGAGTAGCTTTTCAAGCGGCCTGTTGTATTTGTTCCGTTAGATATTTTACAGCTTCTTCAATGTCGTTTTTGTGTTTAAATCGAATTTCAACGAGATATTTTTTCATTGATTTCTTCTTTCGAGTTAAACCCAATTCGTGTTACTGGAATATAGCCTTGGTGCAAGAGTTTTCAAAATTATATTGGGACATTGGGAGTTAAGGTAATCAAGATGGGACTGAGGCCCGAATGTAAATCAAAACTGGGGGTGATGTCGCTGTGTATTTCAGGTATTCCCTTAGTTATAGCAAAGTCTAACAGATCAGGAATTTTGTTATCAGTGGACCAGTATGTGGGGGTACCAGTTGTTAGGTATTTCAGGTTATTATCTTGTATGATCTTTAATAGATTTCTGCCTTTTGGAGATATCAGTCTTGCTCCCCAGGTTGTATGTTTTGCATTCCAGTCCCCTGCCACCAGGAAATGTGAGTAAAGTTGTTCAAAAAATTCTCTGTATTCCTCCAGATTGATGGTATGGCGTGGTGGGCTGTAGATAGAGGCTATTATTAATGGAAAGGTGAGCGCATGTACTTTTATGATAGTACTCTGAATTTTGTTGGTGATAGATGGAGCAAGTTCGTAGTGATTTATAGCTGTACGAATATTACAACTGTACCAGCATGGACTGTTCCATCTGGATGGTTTTTCGTAATAAACAGAGTAGTGTGGATTTTTTATAAAAGACCTCTCAGTTGTGTGACTCTCAGATATAAGTAGGATGTCTATTTTGTTTAATTTTAGAAATAGTATAATTTCTTGCACATGGTTTGTTAGACCATTTGCGTTCCACTCTGCTATTCTAAGTGAGTTAGCCGTTACGACGTTCTATTTATCACTGTTGTAAGCATGCTTGTATCAATTGTGCAAACATATTTTTAAATTTATTGAGCAATTCTGTAAGTTTATTTGAAAGGCCTAAATTATTATTGTTGTCTTGTGAAGAAGTATTAGTTGCTGCAACTTGAGCATATGTTACATGTGATTTGCGTATGTGGTGAGCATTAGTGTTATTATTTAGGCTTGCAACTCTAGGTATAGGAATGCTGCTTGTTATATTTTTGTTTTCCGAATTTACAAGGTCTTTATATATAACATATCCTTTATAGTTTGCTGGATGATTGCCATTACATAAGGCATATGTTGCTGGTGTCGCGTGCTTTTTTGCAAGTTTTTGTATCATGTGTAGTGATGGGAAGACCTGGGTCTTCCAGGGCATTCATTAAAATGACCCGTTCATATGAACGACTAATTAAATTTGTTGTCTAAAGGTCAAGTGTGTAGAGTTTAATATTGATATGTTTATGAATCCTTCTAAGAGTGTATGAATTAATGATAATGTAGGACCCGTTCATATTGTATATGTAGATTCCTTCATTAGAACGACTTTATTTATAGTGTTGTTTACGTGTAAAATTGGATATTGTTACTATAACATTAAGAATTAAATATAGTTTAAGGCTAAAGGTTTGTATTTCTCAAATCATCTTCAGAAATCATTAAAATAAAAAAACACTTGAAAATGTTAAGTAAAATTACAAATTCCATATAATATTCAAGAAAGAATGATAATGCAACAATTAATAAGAATTTTATTGCCTACACATTTATAAACAGAACAGACTACGGGACTATTGACTCGACAATTCGAATGTATATGTACATAATTTTACAGTTTTGCAGCGAAAGGGTTTTGCCGTTCTGAGAATCTGAAATCAGCGTTTAAATGATCCTTTGCGGTTCGCACCGTTCGCGCTTCATACATTAATTGGACCGAGCAACGTGTCGCGATCACACAGTTCTTTCGGTGGTTTTTTCGTAAACACTAGACAGCGTCATTCATATGCATGATTCATAGGGTCATTCGAACGGTAGGGTCACAGAATGTGATTGCATCAATCACGGGTCTTCGAAAAGATCAGATCTTCGTGAACGGCTCATTCATGACCTTCTCATCACTACATGTGATCCACCACACAGGCGAATGGCCTCAGGCAGTAACTTTTTGAGTGTCCGTATTTTTGACACCTTGTGCATTGTACTATTGTATTTTTTGTTCTAGATGGTTCTACTGTTATTATGCAGTTTCGTAGGACTTCCAGGTTAAATATGTTTTTGTTGTTTTCATTTGGCTCTATATCGACAAAGAATAAGGGCAATGGTTATTTGGTAACTCTATGTCTAACATTATGTTGCGAATTTTAAAACCCTTATTATTTAATTCATGCAAGATATCTCCTGTGGGTATTGAATGGTGTAATCCGCTTATGACAACAATAGGGCCGCTCTCATTTCGGTTGGTAAGTGTGATGCACAATGTTTTCTTTTCCAAGGTGCTGTATGAGTGTCCTGTAGGTGTCAGAATTTGTAGGGTTAATTTGTACTGTATTATTTGAAATGGTTTTGGTGTAATAGGTTTCGGCCGCAGTTGCAGTTGAAAGGTTTGCTATCATAACAGTATAGTCAATAACTTCATAAATATAGATTGGTGGCAGTAAGGGATCTTTACCGAAAAAATCTAAGAAAAAAAAGTTAAGAACTGGCGCTGATTCTGATTTTTCCTTCAATAACTAGCTTGTGTCTATTGGTTCATTGGATACAGTTACACTTTTCCTTTTATTCGTTAATCTTAGGTAGGTATTATTCACTTATCTCGAATATATTAACATTTTAATGTGGACTATGGTCAGCTATTGACAACGTATTTGCATACATTATACCACTTCGTGTTGTGGGAATGTAATATTGAAGCCAAGAACAAATTGTTATTAAATTTATTTAAGTGTCTTAAAAACTCAGGGAGTAAAGCCCAAAGAAAAGCTTCGATCAGAACAATTACATAAATATGATTAATAAAAAAATATTATTAACAAAACATTGGGATTTATTTCTCTTGCTTCACATGATCAGTACAGCATTTTAGAAGATTTATTAAGTAGATGAAGATCATTTAAAGATTTTTCCTTGATTGAATTTTCTACCTTGTTTGTCAGTACCAGTCCATGAGAAGTATTGCTCTACTAATTTCTTTGTTTCTTCTGATTTGGCATCCAACTTCTTCCATTCGTAGGATTCATAATCTATTTGCCAGTCGGGACTTAACTGTAACATTAAAAACAGTCTAATTAGTTTCTTTTAATTTAAAAAGAAGGTTTTAATAAAATAATACTCAGTTGAGTGTTGAATTTAATGAAAATTATAGTTTGGAATAACGCATGCTACAAATATGAAAGAGCTAATGATTACTGAAAATGGACACCTTATTTTACAATGCTCTTTTTAATATTAAAAATTAAGAGTAAACATCCCTAACCTCACTTTTGTATATAAAAAGAACAATCTACAATATTTTAGTGAGAGAATATTTTTATTGAGTCAAAAAATATTAATATAATATTCGGACTATGTCACAATAAAAAAAACACAAAATGCATGCACATAAGCTAACAAATTGCCCTTCATAACACATTATATAGTAACAAAAACACTAAAAGAACAGAGACGCTTCTTTCATATTTGGTATAACGATAAATGCCAAAATGAGACCATTCTTTGGAGATTAGAGAATAGATAAAGAGAAATAAAGAAATCATCTTTTTTGGAGAATGTCAAAATTATTTTACAGCCATTACTTTAAACCAAAAATGAAAAATCAGCTGTTTAAACGCTGTTCTCGTGGACTTCTCTACGGTACTGAAACAAGGACCTTACAGATGTATCCACAAAAAAAAATTAAAGGATTGTGAAATGTGGCTATATAGAAAGAAGGATACTCAGGATTTGCTAGAAGGATCATATATCCTATGAAGAAGTATTAAAAATATGAGAAAGATATGAAAATCCTGAAAGAAAAAGAATCTCCTGGCTAAAGAATCTGAGGATATGGTCTACAGAGCTTTTCCACACTTATGCCAATAAAGAGTAGCTATGGTGGTAGCCAACATTTGCCAACAAATTGTCCCCCACAGAAGAAAGAATTCTATACTTTGTACGAAGTGTCATATGATTCAACATGAATGCAATGTACAAAAATTAATAATTGTACAAATAATATTTTAAATGAAATGAGGTTGAATGCTCGAATAAATGAACTTTGAAAATAAGGCTATTATCGAGCACAAGTTAATTAAATCTAGCCCAAGTACTTTCGCTTAAAATAGCATCTTCAGGGGCATTTCGTCAAAATAAGAACTATCCGGCAAGCGTAGGATGTGGAAACATTAAAACTAACATAAATTATACAAAACACTACACTAAAACGAGGACAAACAGTTTAAAAATTCAGAATTTTTAAACTGTTTGTCCTCGTTTTAGTGTAGTGTTTTGTATAATTTATGTTAGTTTTAATGTTTCCACATCCTACGCTTGCCGGATAGTTCTTATTTCGACGAAATGCCCCTGAAGATGCTATTTTAAGCGAAAGTACTTGGGCTAGATTTAATTAACTTGTGCTCGATAATAGCCTTATTTTCAAAGTTTAAATAATATTTTAACTAACACAAATTTTATGTTAAGTACAAATAAAAATGTTTTAGCATTGAAATACCCTCTAAATAAAAAAAAATCTAGAGGAATTGGAGATGCTAGGATTGATATAACTTTCTGAGTTACAGATGTTACAATAGTCTTGTAAAACCTGCCTTTGAGAAAGTACTAACTAGTAAAACTACAACTACAATGTATCAATGAAAAATTGTAATCTTACAAAACTTATTCTTAAGTACAACAGCAATTGTATTTTTAAGAAAAAAGCAAGAGATAAAACAGCTTCAACAGAAAACTTGGATAATTGTTTTTATAAGTAACTTTATAAACACAGTTTGTTTTAAACTTTTATGGTACTTCAATTCAATAATCGGCAGAATACTACACATAAATGAAATACTCAATAGAAATACTTACAGTAAAAGCTAATTCTTGTCCTCTCCATACCCAGATACCGGAGATTGTGCTGTTGTTGTCTTCTCCAAAAAGGCATACAGATGCGAAGGCCTGCTTTCTCATCTTATCCAGCCTCTGTTGCATACCGGTAATTAGGTTACAGCTCATGAACACTTTGGAGAGTTCTTCAGGGTATTTATATTCGCCATACCAGATTGAGTAGTTTTCAGGGTCGAATTTCTCCCAGAAATAAGCAATTGATTTGCTCTCTTCTTCATTTGAATAGACACGTTTGAAGTCATCCATAACAAAGGTTCTGTAACAAAATAAAAATCAAATGATAATAAATTTCAGAAAAAAATATGGTTTAATAAGAACATCACATTTGGAACATAAGTTTTTATAAAAACTTAGCAGGTTTAATCAACAAAATAACAAAATTTTATTCGACTTCAATATTAATAATTACTTATTTCCACAACATAATATACAAAACTAAGAGCTGATCATATTGTCCATGTGTTCATTTTTTTCCATATCAGTGAATTTGAACAATGTTCAGTTTCACTTTTTGTTCACTCAAACTTTTTTTTAAAAAAATGCAATGCAATTGTGGTCTATCCTGATCTTTCCACCCATTTTCATATATTTTTTGACTTAATAATAATCACTATTACCAAATGACCGAATATTAAAATCAAGCATATTCAATAAATATTTGGGTATAAAGCACAGCACCCAAAGCATTTTCCGGAAATCGGCTAGGATATGACGTTTATCCCTCCCTCAGAAAGTGCACATTCAATTAAACTTTGTCAGCCAATTTCACTTTTGTGACATACATTAACTTTACCTTGTAAGGATAATTTCAAGGCAAACTTTTTCTACAAAACTTATATTCCATCTGTTACCAAATAAACATTCACAAACGAGCAAGCCATTAAAATAACCACGGTATAATAGTCACCATCATCATCATCATAGCACGAAAACCCTGGATGAGTCTTAACTGATTGTATGTTTTTCTGATTTACTTAGTCTTTCATCAGCCTGTCTTCTTTCTGTGTCATCTTTTGCCGAAGATTGGCGACTATCAAATGATATGTTTCTGTTTTGTGCTGCATCTATTATGTTTGCAGCTTCTCAGCCCAAACATCAGCATTAATCTACAGGCAAGTACCTAGCCGTCCCCAACAAACGAAACAATATTTCTATACTTTGTATGAAGTGCCACATGATTCAACATGAACGGAAGGCAAAAAATAAAAATAATAGACATAATTTTTAAAATAACACTAATTTAATGAATATCTTTATAAAATGTATGTTAAGTACACATAAAAATGTTTTAGCATTGAAATACCCTCTAAATAAAAAAAACCTAGAGGAATTGGAACTGCTAGATTTGATATAACTTTCTGAGTTACAGATTTTACAATAGTATTATAAAATCCGCCTTTGAGAAAGTATTAACTAGTAAAACTATAACTACCATGTATCAATGAAAGATTATAAGCTTAGAAAATTTATTCTTAGTAGTACAATAATAATGGCATTTGTAAGAAGGAAGCAAGAGATAAAATAACTTGTTAAAGAATAGTAAACTTTGATAATGTTTGAATATAATTTAAAATAACTAAACCAACGCTGTTTGTTTTAAAATTTTATAGCACTTTATAATATGATATGCGTATACATTGTTTCACCATGTTATAATGCCACTGCTGGATGCCACCACAACAGGATGTATGCAATGTGAATTGAATATTGCTAGGATGGATTTGTCAAAATAAATAAAAATTGTGAAAGTAACACTAAAAAATTTTCTTTCAAAGCCATATTATAAATTATATGTGTCTTATTGTCCAGGATGTCTTATGGACCCTCTTTATAATCGGCGATTACAGACAAGTAAGCGCGAGCACGATTGTGTAGAGGGCAGACTCTGCTATACATGCCCATCATCACCTATAACGACAATCACACGATCTACCATCGCCGCTGATTTTATAGTGTAGGTGTGACATTATAGTCTGAAACATGTGCTAGTTTGGTCTACATAACAAATACGAAGGCAGAAAACAACAAATTTATGAGTGATGTTATACAAACACATCAGGTGTAAAAGATGTGATAACTATTAAAAAATATGAAGAATAACAGAACAATCCTCTCATGCACATCTGTATCTCACAATCCAGAGGAAGTAGACATAGAGGTAGGTGAAAACTTAGTGTGAGAAAACCGTAAGCACCATGAGTTATAAGGATGCAAGGAAAATTGATGCAAAAAGCTGGCAACAGATTGATTAAATGAATAAATTGAAAAGAAACATACTTTATACGAAAGTGTGTAAGGCATTTACTAGCTGAGAGATTTTGGATTACAAAGCTATCTTCAAAGTAATCATCTACAAGAGAGGGACCCCATATGGAACTCCAGTGATACTAGTCACTGGAGCTATTTCCAAAAAGTAATTACTCTAAATAATATTCAATATACATACCCTTTAGGTAGTTCAGAGAAGGGATCCCTGCTCTTGGGTTCTTCAGCAAGGGCAGCTTCGGCAGCATCTAATTCTTCTGGCTGTTCCTTTTCCTTCTTTTCTTTAGGTGGTTGTGGCTTCTTCTCTTGTTTCTTTTCTTCCTTCTTCTTACCTTTACCTGCAATAGTAATATAATTCTAATAAATGTTAGCTAACTTTCATTAAAATCTCAGATAATATATATAAAAAAATGTTTTGACATTGAAATACCCTCTAAACATTGATGGTACAGAGTGATTGGAAATATCAATAATAATATAACTCTCTGAGTTACAAACGGTACCATGAAAGGTAACATTTGCCTTTGAGAGAGTAGTTACTCTCTCAAAGGCAAATATCCATCCTGCAGCATAGAGAACATGTAACAGCTCAAATGTCTTCAATCTGATCGACAAATCTCTAGTTACACAAAACATTTTCCATTTTGGTAAATGCATTATCTTGCTTTTCCCGTTCTTAATTTAATTTAAAATCAATCAACCTCGAGGGATATCATTAGCAATTGCTCCAAAAAACTGTTGTTTGACAAGTAAATATTAACAATTAATTTATAAAGTTATATCAAGATATGCATGATTAGTACAAGGTATATGAAGATCCTATTTCTTTTTTAAAAAACAATAACTGCAATGAGAAGTTAATTTCTTTCAAACAAAAACTTGAAGCAATTAGGACAAATTGATAGTTATAGATAAGTAATTACAATCTACCAGTGATGTGACATAGTGTCTTTATTAAATAGTTTAGGGTTGACATTCTGTTGAATATTCAAATATGGGCAAATAATGCTTGATATGCAAGAAAGATGCGGCAGAAGATAGACTTCTTTGAAGTTGATGGATGTAAGAGACATATTAATTGTGCCAGTGTAACAACCACAGAAGTAAGATGTCCTCAATTAGCAGCAGATACTACGAAACTAAAATATTTGTGTGAGGATTGTGAGCAAGGTTTACTGTTAGTACCAATTTTGAAGTCCATGGTTGAAGATTTAAAGATTGAAGTAGAAAAAGTTAAATTTGCCAATGAAAAATCCTTACACAAAAACAATAAATCAGATTTATAATATAAGGAAGACTATTGATCAACTGAAATGCAACTCAAATGCGTCAGGTTTGCCTTTTGAAATAATGGTTATACAAATAAACAAGGGAATTGTAATATCTAACAATGTTATGTTGTTCAATGTTCCTGAATTCAATTATTTGAATATTGAAGACAGGATAAAATAAAACAGAACCAAAGTTAAGGAAATTATGAAGCAAATAGGAAAATATGAAGTAACAGATGATTTATTAAAAGTTATTTGAGTAGAGAAGAACACAGGTACCAAGTCTCTTCCTCTTAGTTATTTTTTCCAATAATAGTGTTGTTAAGGACATTTTAACTAAGAAAAAAAGACTACAACTCAAAAATCAAAATAAATAGTGATCAAACAAATATACAAAGGGATATATTCAATAAAGCTTGCAAAGAATTGAAAGACAAATTGAAGGCGAAAAAGACATCGCCATAAAATACAGAAATTGTGTACCAAAAATTGAATCATTCAAGAGAGAAGGAAAAAAACTAATTTCATCCTCATTACAAATTTATTGTCAGAGTCTCAGAGGACTTCATACACAAATTCAAAATCTCATTAGTTCTATTTTATGTTCTGATTATAACATATTTATATTTGTTGAAAGTTGGTTACATAAGGATTTTTAGATTGTGAATCATCATACTTTCTCATTCCTTTTGCAACAATGGTGTGTAAATGGTCTTCAATACCGTCCATCTATCCTTTTGGGATCACATTCTTATATTTCTTAATGTTTGACAAATTATATAGCTATAATATATAAATTTTGAGAACATTACTACAACTTCTCACATTTAATAACATATGTAAACGTAATGTTCACATAAAATAAATGTTCTAAAATTACAAATCTAATTATTCACCAAACGCTATCTAATCTACAATATCAGTAAAACTGTAATCAAACTTATTGTTTATTAAAAATGGTAAGATCTACAGAAAATAAAATCTCTATCAGATAATAAAGTCTTAACAACTTACTCTTTTTCTTATTAGTTTTTTCCACAATTTCAGCATTTCCATTTGGTTTAGCTTTGCTGTGAGCAGCTTGTAAATTTTAAAGGAAACTTTTTTATATATTGAACAAGATTACACAAAAATAAAATTGTTTTGGCCCAAGGATGAAATTATTTTGAAAATTATTAGAATATACCTACTGTCAAAAGTGACCAAATCAAGTTTTTAACAACTGAACTTCACTGCCCCATTGGTAACATATACCTGAAGTCTACCACATCCAATATTTTAATATTAAAATAACATATATCTTTAAAGCACATTTGATTCATGGATGTACATAAGAGACACATTATGGGCAGTGTAAAACCAAGTATATAACATGTATTGTACTAGATCAGGCAACCAGATACCTAGACTATTAATTAATGATCTGGATTGAAAGGTGTGAACACCTTCTTCTACCTGGGCTCACTGCTGACCAAAGACAACAATGTCAGCAAAGAAATTAAAAGAAGAATAGTGCTAGCCAATAAGTGCTAATCATGGCTGGATGAAACAGATGGCCCTATAACTATCAAAAAAATGACCATATATAAAACACTAATAAGGCCAGTGTTAACATACGGGTCAGAAAGGTGGTCACTTACACAAAACGACCAAGAATTGCTTAAACATTTCGAGAGAAAAATTCTAAGAAAAATATATGGGAGGAGTCCAAGAACAGGGTTTGTGGCATAGGCGCTACAACTTTTGAGTTATACAGAAGTTTTGGGAAACCTGACATTGTAAAATGTATGAAATTAGCACGCCTTCGATGTATAGGACATATAATTAGGCGAGATGAAGATGCAACGATCAGAAAATTTTTCAACCAAATAGGACCAGTGGGAAGACGAGCCAGAGGAAGAATAAAAATTAGGTATCAAGATAACATAGAGGATGATCTAAAATCCATCGGAGTTAAAGCATGGAAAAGAGTTGCCAAAGACAGGGGTGAATCCAAGATTGTTCTAAAGAAGGCTTTGGCTCATAACGAGCTGTAATGGTACTGATGATGATGACACTAAAATAACAAATTTCAAAAGTTCATATTGATCAGTGATTCATCAACATACATTAGGCAAAGAGAAACCCTTAGAATTTTCCTTAGTTTTAATACAGAAGTGCAAGAAAAATAATAAGCTATATTCATGGAAATAGTAAAAAACAAAAGACATGCTAGGCTAGTAGAAATTGTGGTAAAAAATTTCATTTTACATTAGAAAAGAGTTATACTGGAACCAAAAGTATGAATAGAATTTGAAAACAAATTGTATAGATATGTAGAAATATCTATCAATAAAATCGTTGATAAAAAAATTTTTAGGTGTTAAAATCTAAGAAAACTGCAGAAAAATATCACATCCGAGGGCCTATTTACCATTTAAACTAGTCATTAAACATTTAAATATTTATAACTATGAATATTTACCTGGTGTTGTGGCTGCAGCAGTTAAAGTTCCAGGTTGAGCAACTGCACTGCAAAGTTTAACTTCTCCAAGTACAGCTTTGAATTGTGGCTGGTTAATAAGTGTGTTGAACCATCTGTTGACATTACCAAAAGGTTTTCTAAAGTTGGGATCAAGTACATATTTGTAGGCATTCAATAGATTGCAGGCAACTACAATATCAGCTAGAGTGATTCTCTCTCCTACCAAGTAAGTGTGGGCAAGTAAGTGGCTGTTGAGAATAGACAAAGAGGATTTGAGGTCTTCCTTTGCTCTTTGGAAAGTCTAAAAATAGAACATCAAAATGGTTTATTCAGATTTTCAATTCAGTCAATTCAGAAAACTAACTTTACAAAACTAGTTTATTATATAGTTTATTAAGTATATAAAATAGTTCTATTCTTATACATACACTTCATTTCTGAATAAATTATTTTTACATTAAAAAAGTTCTTCAGACACCATCACCTTAAACTGTCTTAGAAATGTGATGTGAGTTTCCATGTGATGTGGTAAACATTTGATAGATTTGAAAAGTTATGAGGTAAATACTTTACTATATAAGATTTGGAGTTTTGTCTAGACTCACTAGATATATACTGATAATACTGGGAGACGTGAGTGGTCTCTTCATTCCCTTCTTATCGCACTTTACCATGACGAACGTGACTCGCACAATTGAATTACGCATCTGTGTATCAGAGAGACGAATATTAAAAATTCCATAGTAGCTTATTTCAGACACACGCCAAGAACGATGAAACTGAGTTTACCATATTTATTTTTATTTCTTTTCAATTGTAGTTTGCATATTAAGTCAACCATCATTTTGTGTTTGGTCGTTTCCTAGAAACTTCTTGACAAATTATAATTTTCTTGTCTACTATGAGCCCTAACAACTATATGTTGGAACAAGCAGTTATTTTGTGAATAAAGTGATAATTTACTGAAATTCATTTAATTTGTAAATATGAAATTAACAACATTTTTATGATGTATGGAATTATTTTTACAGCTTATTTATATATATTTTATATTGAATACTATTTAATTGTTTGATAATTGAGAGCTGCTGATAACTAAATATTGGACCATTTTTTGCTTTTCCTAAAGTTTTATCAACCTAACGCAAAGAAGACTTTGAAATCTAACAGGAGTAGGTAGTGCATTATCAACAATAATTGTCACACGCCATTTTAGTACGAATAATTAATACAAGTAAAATAAAATAAGAGCACATGGAAATCTCCAGTGAATTGACTGTAGCAACAATTTTTGTGATTAATAGAATTTAAAAAATATGGTGAAACTATCAGTATTGATGTTTATGGCAAAAGCCCAGGGTGTCCAAAAGCTGTTTCTCAAAGGAGTGTGTCATTTAATTAGACTCTGTAACTCAGGAAGAAGAAATACCATATGAGAAGTAACTGCTACATGGAATAGAGAAACTGGGATGCATGTTTCAAGAGAATGCCATCACAAATATGTACACGGAAGCTGTCTGTGGGTTATCTTTGCAATATAAATTTTCTATTTTTTTATTTACTTGAGTACATCAAAGAAAAACCATTATTGCCAGAAACTCAAAAAATTAGTAATTATAGTTGGGCTAAATCAAAACTTTCATGGACCAAATATTAGGAGAAAGTTATCTACAGTTGTGGAGGCAAATTTGATTTCTATGTGGGAGATTACTCAAAGCATGTGATACGAGAAAAATCAGAAGCATTCCATAAGAATTTTCTGCAAAGAAATATAAAGTTTCCTGATGGATCATGGTGTGGGGTTGTACATCAGCTGAAGGGTTGGGAATTTTACATTTTATTAAAGGCATAGTAAACACAGCCATTGATCAAGATATCCTTGAACATTTGTTTTTAATCAAGTGCAGTGATCTACCCAGAGATTTTATCTTTCAACAGCATGGAGCCTCATGCCATAGAGTTAAATCTACCAAAAATGGATAGCAGAACAATCCATTAAAGTTTTGTCATATCCTTCTAGCAACTCGGATCCAATAGAGATATTTTGGCACAAAATGAAGCAATGCCTAAAAAATTACCCTTTGTGTACTTTGCCACAACTATGTGCTAAATTGCAAGAAATATGGGTTAGTTACACCTCTGAATTCTGTGAAGACCTAGTTAATACAATGCCGGTTGTTATTTAAGCTAACAGAAACAAGTAAAAAATATGGACTGGATATAAACTCCAGCAAAACTAAGCTAATGATCATCACCAAGGAAAACATAACTGGAGCAAATCTGTATGTGAACCAAATGAGAATTGAACGTGTCTCACAATACAACTACTTGGGAACTATAATCAATGGGTTGTAGAACAATAACCAGGAGATTAAATGTCGCATCAGAAAGACAAAAAGTGCATTCTTGACTATGAGCTCTGTGTTTAAGAGCCATGATCTCACCCTAGAAACAAAAATAGGGCTCCTTAAATGTTATGTGTACTCAGTGCTTCTGTACAGAATAGAAACATGGACATTGAAGGCGGAAACACTATCAAAACTTCAGGCTTTTAAGCTGTGGCTATACAGAAGGATCCTAAAGATACCATGGACAGATAAAGTCACCAATGAAGAAGTACTGTGGAGGATGAACACAACTGTGGATTTGGTCAATATTGTGAAGGGTCATAAGCTGCAGTACTTGGGACATATAATGAGAAATCAAGGCAGATACAAGCCACTTCAATGCATTTTACAAGGTAAAATTGAAGGAAAAAGGGCCCCAGGACGAAGAAGAATATCCTGGCTTGCTAACCTGAGAGAATGTTATAGAAAGATCTCAACACAGCTATTTCATATAGCAACCAAAAAAGTCATCATAGCCAGAATGATTGCCAAGTTCAGAATGGACAGGCACCCTAAGAAGAAGATTCAAGCTAAGGGCAGCAAATAGGCCTATTACTTAATTTTTAGGTAATTATTTAATAAGACGGAACACCTCGAAAATGCCCATTTTTTTTTGTAGACTTTCAGGATCGACAAATTGCTTCGAATGGTTGACTGTTTGGTGAATAAATCCTTCTTGGCCCAAAGAATTGTATGATTTCCAAAAATTGTGCCAGGAATGGCCCATTCTTTAATTATCCCAAGAAAAGTATCAGCATTTCTGGATTCCATAGGTATTAAGAAACAATTCTTGGAATTTCTTTCAAATCCAACAAAAACCCACTGTCCAACCACACAATGACCTCTATTGTACTTTACGAATTCTTGTCTAGGCTGCTTTAAATGTAATAAAGTTGCCACCAACATAAATATTTTCTCTACTGGCAATTTACTTGCTTCCAAATGTTTTGTCTTGGTACAAGATTATTACACTTAAACCTACCTTCAGCGTTAATTCACAACTCGCCGCACTGACACACCATTTTGTATTTAATAACACTGTGTTTAACCATAAGCTCTAGGGCACTACCGTTACTTAATCACAATGCGAAACTTTCAGTAAATCTTAATGTAAAACCACCACACTACATTTTATCCTTATTTTCCTATAGTCTAGGCAACATAGCTTTAAGAAAATTTTGTTCATTTCGATAAGGGTCAGGTATTTTCATTTTGATATTGCGGTTATAAAAAAAATATATGTTCACAGAGAATTCCTAGATTGACATCTAACCATTAAAAGTTTGTCTGGGAATCCCCAATATTGATTTATTTGAAATACTATATGTATTATATATACACAAATTACTCTGTGAATTCCACAATATTCATTAGCATAAAATTTCATATTTTTCTTGATATTTTATAATTAAAAATGTAAAACAACATAACCCAACCTAACTTAAAATCAGACTGGGAAGCTCTCAATTTTTATTATTTGAAAAATTACTTAATTTTTATTTTAATTTGTTAAAAACCTCTTGTTTCAACATTAATAGTAATCAATATAAAGTATAAAATTAAACTTTTAAAATAATTCCATACACTATCAAAAATGTTAATTTAATATTTTCAATTTAAAAATAAGAATTTGTTTCAATTTTGACTGCAGCATCCATAGCTATAGAAAATTAACTCTTCATTTAAGCCAAAACCTTTACTTTATTTAATAATACAGCCACTTTAACATTTTCATTGTGTAAAATTGAAGTGAAACTGTTGATTTAGGACATAGTAGGAAAGACTGCATTGTGTAATCTTCAGGTTTCTCCATTTTTTTATCTTTCCTCTAGCTTCTATTTTCTTCTCCAAGTGTAGCTGGTACTCAATACATTCATAATTGAAGGCATCCAAAAGTTGAATGTTTCTGATTTGTCTTACAGGAAGTCAGGAATAATAAAAAAAAATGAATTGGATCTAAAAAACTACCCACAGATTTTAAGCTACAAGGATCAAACATTCCTTAATTTTTGGCAAATGTTGGAAATTTACATAACATATTTAATGCTAAGTAATTATTAATTTCACTTGTTGGAAAGAACTTTTCTAGCAATACAGGTTTTAAGCTACAGGAAGTCAACATTTATTTTTTTTGGCAAAATATGAAATTTAAATAACAATATTTAATTCTAATATTATTAATTCCACTTGGTGAAACATTTTTTTAGTAAGATTTTAATTTCAGTAAATCTTGATAATTACATTAAATCTTAGTTGTTGCTAAATTCTTGCCAAGCAATATTGAGTAAAAAAGAAGTAATTTTAATCAACACAGATTTAAATTTCATCATACACTTTGCTACTAATGCAATAATTGAAATTGATATGTGAAGTATAAACAGTTTTGTTTAACTAAGGACATAAGTACTGACCTCATCATTACCACTGTTATTTTTAACAATTCCCAAGATAGGGAATACCCAGGCACATGCTGCTGGAACAATTTCACCTTCAGCAAAGCCAATCCATTGCAAAATTTGTGCTCTATCATATTCATTTTTTCCTCTTAGTTGTTCATTGGAAACATAGTAAGCGATAGCGTTGCTGTCTTGAAGGTACTTGCCATCGTTTGATTCAAACGCAGGAACCTAAAAAAGGGAATTTGGTTAAAAAATACTATAAAATGGACTTTATACAGTTTTATATATCTCAGAATTCCAGTTAGCTAACGTAAACAAAAAATAATATTAAAAAAACTCTTAAAATCAATTTTGTTTACCTACCTTTCCACTTGGAAATTTCTTGGTGAACTCTTTAGTCTTATTAGTTTCTCCAAAAACAAAATTGGATGCTACTTTGACGTTTGCCTTGGCATATTGTGCGGCAATAAGAGTTTTTGCGGCCCGGAAATTATCGGGATAAGTGTAAAGAGTCTAAAAAATAAACATTAAAATATTTACAATATTCAAAGTAACACATATTTCTAATTATAAAAGTGGAGGATGGATTCAGAATAACAGGATATTGTAAATATTAATTAAAACTTACTCCGGCAGCCATTCTCACTACACTCAAAACTAGTAAAAGAAAGAAAAGGACAACATTACATTTCCAATTCCAAGTAATTTTGACGTTAAAAATCTTCTTCTGTTTTAGAGAATTTGAGTCTTTGACCTATTCGGTTACCATCCAAAAGAATATCAGCAGATGGCATTTATCTCAGGCAAAATACAATACATAAATCTTAAAATGTTTAATATTACAAGTTTATTAAAATAATATCGTTTTATTTTAATTTAGTGGTTAAATTTTCATTGGGTAAGGATGTTAATTATGAACTATAAAAAATCGGATAATGACTATTTCCGTAGCAAAATCACATAGGTTTCTATAAAAAAAACATTAAATAAATACAATTAAAAAGTAGAACTTGTTTTTAAGAATATTTAAAACAATAAATACAGTTAGGAACCTATTTTATTAAACACAAAGCTATTTTGACAAAATGCCTTTACACTCCAATTTGTATTTCTAACGGAATGTCCTATTTGTTATTTTTGAATTGCGAATAATGGACACAAAAATGATAAAAATATAACTACTAAATTGTAAGATGAAAATGTAATTTGCTTACTGGAGACGTGTGGATTTTATTGTACAGTTAGTCGTACATTCATTTGTTTGTCATTGCAATTTCAGGACGACCTATATTATTGTATCGAACGTTGGGTAATCATATCCACACATTACTAAAATATCAATTCTACCTATTTTGGTTAAACGTTTTTCCGTTAAACGTTTAATTGTTTTTCCACTGTTAAGGAAGTCAATAAGGATTGTTTGGCATTTTTTCGAACAATTAGCTTATTGCACCTACGTATACCATTTATTTATGATTCCTGATAGTCACGCACGCAACGATAGTTGACTTTTTTTACGTTAGTCAGGTTTTACGCTACAAAGTTTGCAGCTGAGGTCTTCATGTAACCCTCATTGTATGGTGTCCATTGACTGGTGAATGTCCAGTAAGATAGCCGGTTGTGAATATGATCTGATTCCTGCTTGTTTCATTTGGCAATATGCTTTTCCGGTGGCGGACGGTGCATTTTTGCATTCCTACCACCTACTCCGAACCAAATTATTTTCTAAATGATTCTCCTCTGATAACTTTATCAATTATTTTATTGTCGTGTGTATTTCCCGATAATGTACCAGAATATAAGTTTGAAAATGTTATCCATGTTCTTAGTTGATCCACGGACGTTTTTTGGTTATACCTTATTTACACCTGTCCATATTTCCATATCGTCGGCCAAATGTGAAAACTGCATAAGTCCATTTTTCTCAAAAACCGGTTTTTATGCCATCTTATAGAGAAATTGTTAATTTATATGTTCCAAATTAAATAATACTTTTAAACTTTCTCAGACGTTGTCGCCAAAACTAGTAATGTGTAATTCGCACAAGTTTCTTTATCATCTCAGCAATATGAAAACCGCACAAGTCCGTATTCGTTGTTAAAAAAGCCATACTTTATTAGTGTGTTGTGTTCTAATCAATAAAAACATAGTTTATTTTGATTCTGATAAACTGTGCTTAAAAGTTTCTAAGGTACGTTTAATTCATGCGAGGAGCCTACCCTAAATTTTGTGTTAGGATAATTAATGACGAAATAGTTTATTTTACAAATATATGTATTTGTCCACTTTTCACACCCTGGAGTTTCATGTAATACGTGGAGTTACGTATATTTCATCCAATTATTGTGCTATAATAGATACCTGTCTTACATATATTATTATTACTTATTACAGAAATTACTGGTAATTCCTTTTAAAATATATCAATAACGGCATCTGTCAACAAACTCATAACTGCCAAAGGGTATAATAGACAGGCATTATGTAGAGAAATAATAGTAGAGAAAAAAATGTAGATAAATAATAATAGAAAGAAAGAAGCAATGGGTAGCGTGTGCATTCCCAGGAGTATACGGCCATAACACACCACGTTTATATATTTTTTGATTTTTATCTTTTACAGTATAACTGGTTAGTGATATAAAACATAACTAAATAAAAGAAATAAAATAATACAGCTAGTTTTGTTGTGTTACTGCGTACGTTAGACTATCGTATGGCTATCTCATTCTTTATTAATCTTCTGGGATATCTCTATATACTGCTAGCTGCTGCCTGGGCCGTCTATGTGTCGTCCTTCTTCTTCTTCTTCTTTTGGCATCATAACCCTGGATGGGTCTTTGCCTGTCTGGCTATGTCCTTCCATTCAGATCTCTCTTGTGCCCTTCTTCTCCATTGTCTTATGTTCATTGTTTTCAGGTCGTCTTCCACGTCATCCAACCATCTCGTTCTGGGCCTTCCTTTTTTTCGCCTTCCTATGGGCTTTCATTGTAACATTTTCTTTGTTGTTTTTGCATCGTTTTGTCTCTGCATATGTCCCAGCCATGACAGTCTTTGACTTTTCACAAATCTTACAATGTCATAACCTTCATTTAACTCATTAACCTCGTCGTTTCTCCTGATTCTCCATGTGCTATCTTCCTCTTGTACCGAGCCATATACTTTCCTCAGTATTTTTCTCTCGAATGTCCTGAGTTGGGCTTCATCTTTTTTCGTCATTACCAAGTTTCACATCCAAAAGTTACTACGGGTCTAATCAGAGTTCTGTAGATAATCATTTTGGTTCTTTTGTCTAATTATTTCGATGTCATCAATCTTTTATTAGCATAGTATGTACGATTCCCGCTGGAAATACGTGCTATAATTTTGCTACTTACGGAGTTCTTCTGATTGATTTCTGTGCCGAGATATGTAAATGCATCCACTCGTTCGATAGTATAGTTGTCTATTGTAATATTATTTTCATTGTCAGTTATTCTTTTGACTGTCATATACTTCGTTTATTTTGAGACCTCTTTTTCTTGCTTCAGGATCAATTTGTTTGAACACTTCCATTAGTCGTGGTTTATTCCTACTAATGATGGCTATATCGTCTGCATATGCAGTAATTTGTACTGATTTGGTGTTTATATGACCGGTTAGATTGGTTTTTCTGATGACAACCTCAAGAACTAGGTTGAATAGCATGTTTGATAGGGCATCTACCTGTCTTACTCCCATGTTGATGTAAAAATTTGGACGGTCTGTATTCTTTATCTGTTGATTTCACACATATGTCCCCATGATACTGAGGCGTATGTTAGTGTTATCAGAATTATGTAGTTTGCCATTATAATCCTTGTTTTGAATCTTAGTTTACTCTTATTTCGACCTATTATTTATAAGAGTTGACTCCTGACTGCTTTACCTTTGTTGACCGCTGTGGCGGCTGGTGTGGTAAAATTTTGGGTAGGCCAAGCCAGCAAATTACATCGTAAATTTAGCGCCATATTCTGTGAATCTTTTATTATCGCCCAATTCCAGTCATTGAAACTTTTTGTAATCCGAGAAACGTTGCTCTAATTGAGTGATAATATTATCCAAAATATCAAAAAGATCCTTCTAAATTTGTTTTAGCTTTCTTCAAAAAACTTTGATCTCCGTTATTAGATGAACCACCAGGTAAAATATCAAGTTCACTACGACTTAAGATGGGTTTAGAATTGGTTTCGCTAACAATGTTGAAATGGTTAGCAAATGTTAGGTCATTTCTCCAGCTCTTTAACATTGCAACACTTCTGGACACTGAATTGGCACACAATTAAACGTCATTATTTTTCTTCTGTAAGGTGTTGTATAAGTGCTCAGTTTGTTGAAATATATCACTAAAAACATTTAATAAAAATACAAATTCCAAATCCTCCAACTTAAGAGGAACCTTTTATGAAGGTGCGCTAAAAGAACTAATGAATGAGGCAAGGAAGTATAAAATAGATTTAACGGCTCTTCAAGAGACAAAACAATTAGGATCGGATATAACTAATATAAAAGATATGGTGCTCTTTAAAAGTGGAGCTAAAGATAGAATGCTTGGAACTGGTTTTTTAGTAGCTGAATGTATCAAGGACAAAGTGATAGCTTTTAATCCTATCTCTGATTGGATGTGTTCAATACGAATTAAAAGTAAGAAAAGGAATTGGAGTATAATTAATATTCATACTCCGTCGAAGACAAGGACGACGAAATAAAAGATCTTTACTATGAACAGCTAAATGATGAATACGAGCGCCTACCTAAACGTGTTGTAAAAATAATAATGGGTGATTGTAATGCTAAAGTGGGGAAAGAGCCTCTGTATACTGCAGTAACTGGTAACTACAGTAAGCACGAAGTAACAAACGATAATGGTCAAAGACTTATTGGATTTGCCATGGAGAAAAACATGCTAGTGAGAAGCACACAACTAAAACGAAAAGAGATATACAAGGGTACGCGGGTCTCCCCAGATGGAAGGACGGTGAATCAATTCAAATGGATCATGTTATGATTGAAAGTAAATATATGAATATCGTTTAGAACAACAAAATTCTACAACAATGTGACCAAAATTTACAGACAGATCAAGCCTGGGAACAAATTAAAACTGCCGTAGGAGAAGCTAGCGAGAAAATAGTTAAGTGCGACTCCAAAAGAAGTACAAACAAAGATTGGTTTGATGAAGAGTGTCAGGCGAAGGCGATAGCAAAGGAAAAGAAGAAGATCGGACAACAAATATTAACAGATAATAGAGAGTGTAAAAAACAAGAATATAGAATTGTTCGAGGAAGATTGAAAGCTTTGTGTAGAAGGAAAAAGAGAAACCACAATGAGTTGAAATTAAAAGAGATAGAAGAGAAGTTTAAAAACAAAGAGGTGAGGTCGTTATATCAAGAAGTTAAAAAGATGGGAAAAGGTTACCAAAGCCGCTGTAGTTATATGAAAGGTAAAGACGGAAATTTAATTAGCGATCCGGCAGTAATAATGACGGAATGGAAAAAATCATTTTGAAGAATTATTAAATGGAGAGGAGGACCACGAAGCAGTAGACAACTGGACAGTTGGAGAAGATGCGATAGTTGAAAGGCAGCCTAGAGAGGAGGGAAGTGGTGAGAGCAATACAAGAAAAGAGAAATAACAGAAGTCCTGGTAAAAATGGCAAATGATCAAGTTTGGTGGAGCACAACTACAAAGAAAAATATATCCGCTACTAGTGCAAAGGAGACAAACTGAAGTGTGACAACTATAGAGGTATAGCCTTATTAGACACGGTATACAAAATC